CGTCCTAAGTCGGCGGTACCGCCGGCGATCGTCGACGCCGCCGCCGCCGTTGTCGTCATCGCGGCCAGCAGCGCCAGCTATACGCGGCACAGTCAGAGCACCAGCAACTTTGACCGTGGTAGTATGCGTCTGCCGTTCGCCGTCGATCAGTGTGGTGTGCACGTATGATATCGCATCGTCATATTCGGTCGACGCCGCCGCCGTCGTTGCCGCAACCAGTCGTCGTATATTATTATTATCTGCTAGCACAGTCGTGTGTCACAGCCGCCAGTCGTACGCGATAATAATTATTATCGTTATTAAATAATTTTAATTATAAAATACAGATAACGATAATATTGTATTATATTTTAAATATCGTCGTCGTGTCTCGTACGAATTAAAATAAATTTCCATCAATCGTCGTCGTCATCGTCGTCTCTCTGTCACAGCTGACATTCGAAATCGACGGCGGTTTTTTACCGTTTAAATTTTTGTTTATTTTTAAAAAACACCGAGAGAAAATCAACACACTTCGCCGCCGCTCATCGATCTACGAGAAGAAAACGTGCGTACACTTACCATACGTATACTTATTATTTGTTTGAAATTGTCGTTTGACTTTAATTTTATTCGGGTTTCGTGCCGTTTGCTTAGGCGGTGTCATTGTAATACCTTTAAATCTAACTGTCGGCGTTTATCGCTGTTCCGGTGAATTTTTTTTTCTGTCCGCCTCTTTCGATTGATGCATAACTACATACTTACCATTTGTTCTGTTTCTTTCTGTTTTCAGGTAAACTACCACGATTACAACGCATCCTATTCCAAGGTAAGTCGTCAATAACGATTTATTATATGGTTTTTATTTGCAACCTTATAAGGTGCCGCAATGTCGTTTGGCACATTTCCACATAAATGCGCACACACACACACACACACGCGTACACACACACACGCGTACACGCGTACACACACACACACACACATACGCACGCACACACACAAGATTGTAACATGCACGACACGGCGGTTTTTCCCCTCCGATATGGAAGCGGGTGCGATGTTTTAAAATAAGATTTTCCAAGATTTCTCGCAATTTTCCAACGGGCGTATGCTTGTCGTCATTTCGGGTATCTATAGTAATAACTATAATGCTTAAAAGCGGGCGTGATAGGTAAACGCGGCGGTCGGGCGCGTTTTTAGCGGTCAACAACAACTTGTACGCCGCCGCTGTCGCCGCGGGTTTCAAAGCACACGTCATCATCGGCGAGGCGGCGGCAGCGGCGGCCAAGGCAAGTCTGATGATGACGATGACGAGAGGATAATATCATAATATTAGAATAATAATAATAATAACAATAATAATATACGTTCATGTATAGGTGTATAGTTTAATATTATATATTGTGTTATTGTTGTGTGCATCGTAAAGAAAGAGGCGGCCGCAGCGAATTCGCGGTGTGCCGCACGTATATATACACGAACACACGCATATTATAATGTACACTAATACTATATATACGAAAATACCTGAACACGATGATAACGGTTTGGCCGCCACCGTCGAAAATTAAAATACCTATTCCTATTACCTATAGTCTCTTACAAAAATATACTTTATTAAAACATACGTTGTCATGATGTGTACGGTTTTGCGACGCACCACTAACAGTGTTTTTGGTGTTTTGAACCCCAACATTTTTTGGTTCTTTGTATGATAATTATTATTAAATATTATACAGATACTAGGTTAGATTAGATTAGCTATATAGATTTATAGATTCTATGATTTTCATTTTTATCATACTTATGTAAAATAAGTATAGTCTATACTTTAATATTTTTAGAAAAAGTGTTTTTAATTTTTTTGATTAAACTTAATATGATATAGGTATTAATTATATTTATTAAAAATAAAATAGCTATAATTTTTAAAAAGTAAATACGCTCTCTCCCTTCACACACACACACACACACTCCAAGTTTTTTTCTGTGTATATCGCGGTAAATTTTAATTTGACCGCATTCATCTATCGCTTTTTATTTGTTATAATAAATAATATTTTATGTATATATCTCATTCGTGGTTAAAATAATAATAATGGTTTTTATCCCATTGTCGTACGTGGACGAAATGCTCGACGATAGATAGGTCGTCTGAAATAAATCACGTTTCGAAGCTGTAGTGGTCATCGTTGTGTGCGTATGTAGCGTATACATTCAGTAGGAAGTCATATGTCTAAGTGAAAAATTATATATATATATATTATAAGGGCGTGTGTTGGACTACTCCTGACTCGTTCATACCGTTCTTAGCGCGTGTGTAATGACAACGGTTTGAAAGCTGCATTGAAACGGAAAACGCGCCTGCCGCTGGCATATGTTTTACTTTTAGATGATGCACTATATATGTAATATAAAAGAAGTAGGTATATTATAATATTGGGCTCTGTTATTCTTTTTTTGTCTTTTACCTTTTTTTTTTCTTTTTTTCATTAGGCATATTTTTTTACCCCTCTTGCGGTGCGGCGGGGGAACACTTTTTTACGTCATCCCGTTTCATGATATTATTATATCAAACGGAGCTGTTGTTATATTAAGCAACTCTCCCGTTATCACCAAACGTACATAATATACAATTTAGGTACTGTCAGCCAAATACCGTAAATATGTATAATATGTTATTATACTATATTATATTTTGTTTACTATAATATATCATCTAACGTGTTTAAGCAAAAAAATCCTTACAATTTGTACGTCATCGATTGTTTTGGACGTGGCAGGCACAACATTAATTTTACTATCGATACGTTGTATAATTGTTATACAAACTATCGTGTTAGAAAAAATGAATAAAAAGTCTTCGTGACTTCATCGGTTTCTTAGAAGCTCGACTTATCAGGTCATAAATATTTTTTTGTTTCTATGGCACTATCATTCAATACTAGTATTTATTTTATTAATTTTGGTTTTAATTTTTACTATTTTTAACGTTTTGACATTTTTAGACCCTTGTTATTTTTGTATGTCGTTAAAATTGGATATTGTTTGAATGTTCAGCAATAACGTATTTTAAGTTTCTAAATTACAAGTGTTTATTTTTCGTAATACTTAATATATTATGTATTTCTTTTTTTTTTGTAAATATTTACCAAACTTTTGTCAAACAACATTGAATATATATTCTTTAAGCCAATATTAATGGTACCCATTCTTTAAACTGAATATTTTCTGTTATGCAATCACCAAATTTTAAACTGATATTAGTTATACATGTTGGTTGTAAATTTTGTAAACAAATTAAACTCGAAACAAATATTTTAAGTAGTTAAAAATATATATTGCTTGATAATTAATTTTATAATAGGCCCCTAAGTTTAAATTAACAAGTTGTACTTATGATTAAAGAAAAAATATTTGATTTGTATTATAGATGTACAGTTTAGTCATAAAAATTTAATAATTATATACCAGTGTTGGGATTAATTTTTTTCTTCAGTTGGGAAAGAGTGATTTCTTAGCAAAGATCTGTGACGTCCGAAATCCTTTAGATTGTATATGTGTGTCCCATTTACACTCTAGACGCCTATTTTATTAACATTGACCACTGTTGCTTTTCTGACATGTCCTTTTTTCCCGTATATTTGAATTAATTCCAATTTACCAAACGTTAATGCATTTTTTTTATTTTTTGTTGTTGTACGACGTAAAAAGAGGTGGATCGACTCAAAAATAATTTATCTTGTTTAAAATTCTTCTTTTGAACGGCTATCAAGGGAAAAAAGTGTGTTTCAAGTTTCACGTAATGACTACAGGTTTTTCTTTTTAGCCGTCAATAATGATAGATGTGGCATGTAACGCAGTAGATCATATTATTATCTTACATTTTATATTTAATCATTTGAATGGTTATTTAAAGGAGTATGTAGTTATAATATATTTTTACAACAAACATAAGATACAAAATTACTAACCATATTGACCTATTACTATTGCAAATTGAGTTACTCTTAATACTTTTTTAATCCTTTAACCCATTTTTAAATATATATATATATATTTATTAGTTTTTAGAATATTCAACTAAACATTTACTATTAGAAATTTAGGTTGAAGAATAAATGTTATGTCATAAAAAACGGGTCCCATTATTTATTTAAAAAAAAAAATGTTTTTTTATAAAAGTTTGCAAACATTTACAAAGAAAAAAACATATTATCATGAAAAATAAACACTAGTAATTGTAGATACAATTTGTATTTAGTTAAAATAAACATTATTGTTTTAGAAGTAGATTAAAATTAATTACCTTTTAAAACATGTTTTTATTATTTTTATCGAACTTTTGTATTCATAAATAATTATTAACGTAACCTAATATACATCATTAATATGAATAATTGAATAAATATTATTATTAATTTTCGAATACATTACACTGATCTATTTATTTACTTCATTTTTGTATTTTTGAACGTTTTTAATTTAATAAAATAGTTGCATTTTTAAATTTTTAAGTGTTAAAGTTAATTCATGTATTATTATAAATATGTTACTTAATTCTTATGGTTGTTTTTATTTGTTTTTTTTTTTGTACAAAATTCTCTGAAAGCACTCTACATTAATTTTAATTTTATAATTCATGTATGAATTTTCCATTTTTCATTGTACTTATTAATGAGTGATTCTTGATACAAACAGTTAAAATTAAAGATAATTTATCCTTTTGTGTTAGCTCAGTATCATGATACTAAAGCCTGATTTATTTTTTAAAACCATATCACCAATTCTCATAATCATTTAAACCTTATGTTTATTTAAATTTACAAAAAATAATTTTTTATATTGTAAAATGTGTTTGAAAATAAAATAACAAATTGAAGTACCTAAGTATTTTAGAATACATATAATATTTAATTTTATACAATTTAGTTAATATACATGGTCAATTTAATTAAAATAATTGTATTTACATATTTTTAAGCTTTAATATTTGATCTCCTTGAGATAATATGAATAAAACAAAACTATCTATTTGCCTATATATTATTATTATATATTAAAAAGTATTTTGGGACTAATTCATAATAATGTGCATTCCATCTATATTATGCAAGTACTTTAAAACAAATATATTTTCTTATATTTGCAGTTAAAAAATTAATCTAATATTATATGATTAAAATCTTAAATTAATTTCGAGTTAGAGATGTAATTAAAAATTAAATTAATGGAATTCATGTAAAATATTTTTAAATGTTAAAAGTTTTAAAAAGTGATAACTATAAGATTATATCCGGGGTTAATAAATAAATAAAATATTAAACAGGAGTTTCATTTATTAACATTTAAAAATTAATTAAACTTACAATTTTTAATTTATTTTATTACATTATTATACGTTCATATTAAATTATTTTTATTTAGGGTCGTCTTTTAAATAGTTTCACATACTGATACATTACCACTCACTTTTAAATACCCACCTTGATATTGTTTTCATTCGTTTATATAATTGACATTTTATTTTTGAACTCAACATTCAAGTAAAAGTATCCTGCTTTTACAAAAGTTTCATTCTATGTATGAATTTAGTCGGGTTGATTTTAAACTACGATCAATGATAAATCGTTATCATATTAATCATTATCGAGTGAGATAATATTGCATTAGGATTTTCATATATTTTAAATATATTACTGACTAGTTTAAAATGTCTATAACTGCAACTAAAATTTAACTGTAGATTTCGAAAATATTATGCTAACCTATTATAATTTTAAATGTGTTAGTAAGTGTTTATGTTATTTAATTATTTGTACAACT